TGCTTAAGTAACAACCAGTTTGGAGTACTATACCATTTTATCTGCTCCCCTCACAAGTAAGGAAATGTGATTTATCTGAACCAGAGTTTAAGGCCTGATAGTATCCATGGAAGTGCCATTTTTTGTGCACACCCACGGCTTCCAGGTTGCTTATGACTGAGCTTGGACAAGCTGATGGTAACTCAACTTTGCGCCTACATCAGACAGTATAAAATTATCCGGGCTTACGACTCTACGGAATCTGCAATTTTATGCCTACTTTATCGGATGCAGACAAACAATATCATTTCATGTCAAAAGGCGTATCACAGTTAGTCATGTAATTGATACCTAGTAAGTTTTATATATTTTCTCACCATGTCGGAAAATACACTGACTTGTGCTTTGGGATATGCACCATCTGGAAAACCATAATCATGTAGCTGGTAAAATATAGCTACACTTCATCAAAAATATTGTCCGGAATGTAGCCAGAATCAGAGCGGAAGACAGCACCTGGCATACGAGATTGCACCGACATACCAAATTCTCCCACGGGTTAGTCTGTGTTACCATCTCGTACGATGCATATCTCTGATGATGAGTTTCAAAATAGAGTTTATTTACGTTGACCATTTGTCTTTTTATATCTGATCTCTCATTACCAATAAACAAATACAGAGATTTCGGCATATGATATACTTTCCATCGCGAATGAACACTAGCTTCATGTCAACAGGATTAAAATAAAACATTATGCCAAAAATGCGTCGTACTTCATGATCATCGAAGCAAATGAAATTATTAGACAATAATAGTGCTCTAAAATGTACTTTTTCCTGTGCGATATTTGTAATAGAATGGGCAGCAAATGTCCAACAGTGAGTTCCATGTTTTTCACTGACTAAAGTTAAATGATCCGAGTAGCCAAATACTTGTGTGCATATGTTTTCTACGCACGAAACTGTGGAATGAAAAATGCAAGCATCACGTACTGGACTAGACGATACGAAGTTCCTGGCGTAATTGGAAGTATTGCTCTAAACCCGTCAAATTAAACAACGTTGCTCGAACTATTCGATTAGTTGTTTAACAGTGCGAGATGATGCACCTAATTCTTGAGGAACACACCGTACGGGATTTGTAGGTTAGCCGCACCAATTGGCACGCATTTCGCCTATTTTCGTCAAAAAGGTGATACATGTAGACAGTACAGAACAAGAGCGAATAGAAAGACTAGACGAATTCTGCCAGTAATAACGTCGACGTCGTGGTGTGCGTCATTATGATTTAATAGTCAGGTGCAAAGTTTATCTGCTAACCTATGAGAACCTGACTGATGAACGCTTGATTTTCTTGTTACACGTTTTTCGTTAGTTGACTGGATGTCGGAATACATTGGGAACTGGCTGCTTTATGTTCTACAGCAAAGAAAAACTCAATGTTATTAAAGCCCTTTATTATCTAAGGGATGTGTTTTTGCACACCAAAATTCTACCAAAATCTACGAGAACGTGTTTTTGCTAATATAAATGAATCTTTGCTCGACAATTAGGCTTTGTGATTCTCATGGCTGCAAACTTCAGCTTATCACAGGAACGGACAAAGAATTTTAGTTAAACCATATTTGAAAGGATAACATAAGTGTTATGTAAATTTGTCAACACTAAACTATTTAAAATTCCTTGCAGCTCACAAGGATCATTTTACCAGGAATTGCTGCTTATATATATCGAACAGTCTTGTAAAGTCTCAAATGCTACAATAAGCCACAAATACAGTGTACATCGCAGAAATATGAAGCGCAGAAAACAAAATTCAGCTCAGCGACAGACGTTGGAATGTTTGAGCATCGCATTGCAGGTTATCGTGCAGGTTGATGTTACATCACCTACATAGCTAGAATTTTCGGACTTGAATCCATTGGGTAGACGTTTACGACTAGCTTTTATCATTCACATTAAACCTAACATCGTCACTAAGTATCTCGAAAATCATAACCATCAAACGTTGCTTGTGGAAAAATGGTCTAACCAACACACATCAATTGCGTGGTACGGCTGATAACCTCGTATGATTTGTTGTATATGTGTCTTGTATCACCGTATTCTTTCGAACTCAAATCTTCTTTCTCCCGTTAGATCCATCATTTGACGACTGCGTAAAAGAGGGTAAGCTGCTTTCCCATTTACTTGTGGCAAATACGACTGAAACAGTCAAATAAAAGATCATTGGATTCTTTGGGTTTGAGAGACAATTCTTCCAATCGATAGCGGCTACAGCCAATAATATCTAATGATGAATTCGGCACATTTTAGTCACATGAATTGGATCGCAAAAGAGTGTCTCTTGCCGCCAGAAACGGACAGGCTGCCCAAGTTGCGTGCACTGCTATATGCACACGTTTCAGTTCCTCTGGTAACGCTCGTGCGTTACCGTGAACCCAGAAAGTTTATCGAGAAATTAAGGCAATACAAATTTATCCCAAGAAAAACTTTTATGCACCGTCAGAACTCATTCCAGTTTTCCAATTTTGTGACAAAAGCAAGTCTTAGTTTATAACATTCGGCGAAGGCCTGGTTTGCATTAAATAAATATGCATTATTCTGACCAGCAGTTGTAGGCGTGTGGATACTAGTATAGGAAGAAAGGATTTCAGATTGATTTTCAGGTATTGTTTGCAGATTTTTAGAACAGAGCGCCTAATTGTTTAGGTGATTTTTCACCCATGGAGTAAAAAAATAAGACAGCGGTTTTATATTGTTCTTCTTAATTATGCTTCGACGTGCCTGGAAATTCATGCATGTCAGAATCCGGAAATATTTTTAAAAAAATATTATTTAAAAATGCAAAGTATATGTGCGGAACTTACTGATGTGTGTTTTTGTCACTTACACTGAACAAGTTTTATTATGCTTAAACAGTAAGTGGTTTTTTACCGTCAATACGCAACGAAAAAGTGATAATTTTGGTGTAACTACTCAATGGTCGAGAAAAGACGTAATACGGAATCTAAGCAAAACATACGCCTATGCAATGAATTGGAAGAAGCTATTGTAATTTAGCACGTGACCCTTTTGAACAAATTTGTCGCTTACCTGAAAAAATAACTTGCGGTTCATAAACTTGCGACATGGTCTAAAGGGTTTTAAGCAGTTATTTCGCTACCAGTTATGTCTGATAGGTAGTTAGGTCACTTTATAGCGTTTGTTCATCAGCAAACATAACGTCACCGCCCTTTATGTGGAAATACTCACTGGTTTCTTCCTGTATGCTCTTCTACTGAAGTGAGAGCCCAAGTTTGCTCGTTACAGAACAACCAGAGTAAATAATGCTGGTAAAGCCGACAGTTTGAGTGCTGCTACGTTGTAGTCTTGCCTCTCTTATCAATGAAGCTTCCAAGGAGCTACGGGATCCAGCGAATGGTAAGACTGGCTACTATTAAATTTATGCATTCAGGCCGTTGATGCCATATTACAAGGGAATTGCTTGTGCGAGCGCATGTAGAAAATGCAAAGCAAACAACTTGCTTAGTAATCCGGATTGTAATGAAAATATAATGTTAACTCAGCTGAGCAGACTCGTCTAACGTGAAAATGTCTACTTAAGAGCACACGCACGTTCTAATGAAGCAAATTAATAAAGTTCTCCAGTTGTCAGGTATTTTATACTCGATAACCAATAACTAACGAACCACACGTGAATATTTTTAAAATGCAGTACGACAAGTTGGATGTACTTTTTGAGGTTTACCTCACGCCAGCTTAAATCAACATGTGGAACCTTTACAATAACGCTCAAGTGGTAGTGGCTACTACATTATCAATGTGTGGGCGAAAAATGAAATAACGCGCTTTTTTGACACATTGTGAAGAATGCGGGACGGAAATTAGTTGCCATGAACGTTCACTTGTCAATTCAAAAGTCATAAGTGAACAGCAAAATCTGACAACGCTTATTTATAAACAGATGAAATTTTGTGTCAGTTCAGTGTACACATGCTAAGCTGGATATAGGGTTCGCTACGCGCTTATTAAATAAACATACAACAGGTGAATGGACACGCTTCCAAAAAATGTTTGCTTCCATCAACCCAAGCTGAAACATGTGTGCAAGAAAGTGAGTTCCATATTTGTTTCCATGCTCCTGCGAGAAGCCAACCAGCCCAGTTCAGGATTACACGCTCTCTGAAGCTGAGCGATATATATGGTCTGTGGTTAGCAGGCGTTGTTCTCCCCAGGCAATGTATATTGGAGGGTGTAGGTAGCGTTCATAGCTCAGAAATATTGTACGATATGCTAACTAGGAGAAACAAGGCCAAACTAGTTAATCCATAAATATTTGTGCAATTTATTGCTGCAAACGACAACACGTTAACGTAGCCTCCGAGCACGTTTGTCTTATTTTGAGGAAGTAGTGTAATTTCATACAGTCACACTGTAATACGTGAGACAAATAAGGTAAGTAACTCACGGTTATGGGCGCATATTTGGAAGTCTGTAATTAAATAAAATAAACTTAATAAACCCAAACTTACGATGATCAAGTTCTACAACTGTGTCAAACATTGCGTAAAACAATAAACCTGTAATATACGTTGCGTTCTGTCATATGATTGCTTATGAAATGCTCATTTGGTTTGTCACTCCATTTATTTTCAAATCATCGCGTGTTTAATACGTTAAAAGTCCTAAAAATGAATGACCTGGCGAAATTTCCAGCAGTGGTGTAGAAACCCGTTTACATCAATAAATGTCTCGACTTTTTTCCTCAAATTTCATTCATGCGTGCAAAAGACGGTAGGTTTTCAATTTCTCTGACAGAACTGAGTTACAAATGAATCGCAAAATCTAATTTCAAGGGAATGCCACGAATCGTCTCGTATAAACATAGTTAACGTTGCCGTATTTTCGGGTATCCAAACACAAAGATCACGCCACATCTACTCTATTATTTACAAAGTTGACAGTTGCAGAAACTCCCGTAAGTATCGTCTTTCCTAATTTCTGTTTTCGCAACAGGTGCATGTGTCTGGAATATGACGTCACACACCTGCCTGGCATTCTGTGACTCACCAACAAAATTATTTCAAAAGCTGGTGAGTTCTAGTCATGTCTAAGGGTTGACAGCAAACACTGTTACAAACAGTGAATGTTAGGAAATATATCCAAAGTTAAACCTTAGCCTGGGTCATTTTGAAATAATTCTGCCGACTGAAATGTTGCGGGTAAGCCGCATGTATCAAGTGGAATGTACTGATTTGTTAAGATACCGGAGCTTACTGCTGCGCTTAAAATGCGGCACTGTCATACAAGACCAGATAGCAAATTTGAAAGTTTTGTCAACATATTCTTAACTGTCTGTTATTATGAATTCCGAATAATACCCGCAAATACAAACCAACTGATCCACTATCCTCAGTCGCATCATGGATAGTTTCGCACTAATTTGCTCAGCGGAATCTCGGATTTTAATAGACTGGTTAAATTTCATGTTACCTAACAGGCAAACTGGGCGTTAGAACTAAGGTTCTCAATGGCTTTCCTTCTACCGTTGGATGAGGGCACCATGATATCTATTAGGTCACTGTAAGCGATGCACACTTCGCCAACTAGTCTACATAGTCAGCAAAACATGTGCTTTTATTACCAATTAATTGCCCCAGGTTGAATTCACACAAATGCATCGACATTTTTGTTTAATTTGGCTAGTTGGATCACTGAAATAATACGTTTCTCCGTAATGTTTGTTTCGTTTCTTAATTTTCTGGAAAGAGTAGAATTTATTTCACGGGCCTGACAGGATCCAATAGCGTTTTCGCTTTTCCGATTTTTTGGCAAATTGTATCGGCCTGTTTTTTTGCTTCAGCTTCGTATACTTCCGTTACGTTGAGAAATCTTACTCAATTATGAATCTCTGTTCCAGATGTTCACCAACATATATAGTGCCAGTCTTTGGAAGATTTCATCTGCATCAGATAATCTACCTTATTTTGGGACTGACCAGCTTACATGCATTTCTGAGTACCCACAATTACAATAAGCTTTTTGTTCCTGAATGTACCATTATGGTCGCGTCTGACTCCAAGTCAACTAACAGGTTCGGGTATACATCATTATCTTTATTGTTCTAATAACCAGTACCCATAATGCGATTATCTCAAAACAGCATTTTTCGATAATGCAATATCTGAAAATTCATTTCAAAAACGAATGTTAAAAAACAAAAAGGTCGTGAGTATAACTTGTTTGTTAAGAACGTATAAGACAAATATTGTGCAAATTGTGGTCCAAAACGTGAACCGTTGTTATTGAACGCAATTTCACTAGCAATATCAGGATTTTTGTCCAAAAAATTACGAAGAATAAAGCAGGTTTAAATGAATAAACTGTTGCTTTTTTGTCTACTTTTTGGTTTCAACTTCCTAAAGTTATATAAAATGGAAACCAATGTTTTTTAAATGTTGTTTATTGTCGTCTAAAAATGCTTACCGTAGAAGCCTTCTGGGTGCTCGCTTACTTAAATGAACCTGAGGAACAGCACACAACATAAGAAGCGTCGCTGTTACGCCCAAATCTTGTTTATGTGCTATCCTCTGCGCTTCGTTTAGAGAAACATCACACTGGCTTGCGCCAGTAATTTTGGTACATTCCGTAGCTTAGGCACTTAAATAGTTAGCATCGACACCAAAAAGCAAACTAACTGAAACTATTCATATAGAGTTTCATTAAATAAATTAAAATTTTAACGTAGTCCACAGGATGATGCTATTGTTAAGTAATTATACTCAAAGCACGCGAATGTCTGAAAACAGGTGAGTAATTCATTTTCATCAAGCAAAAAGTAGTTTATTTACATAATTCTTTAGAAAATTATGCCGAATGCGTTGTGTGTAAATCCTTCTAAATTACATGAAAATATTTGTGCAATTCCTTCATTTAAATGCAAATCTATGTATTAAACGGAGGATTGTTAAGCCAGTTATACTCGGGAATTCTGAAGCTGTGTAAACGCGTGTGTAAACGTGTAAGTTATACCAAATACCATTTCCGAGGCCTTAGGATGGTCAAGTGGAAAAAATTAAACAGGGGGCCTCACGTTTTAGGCACAATGTCTAGTCGAACGACTTTATTTCACCATGTTTTATTTTGACTTCGAATTTTTCGTGCAAGATACAATATCGCTCTATTATGTTCAGCGTTGTATTATATCAAACAAACAATAAATAAGTAGCGTAAAATGCCCGTGCACTTTCGTAATCACTAATGCATACGACCTAACATTTACTTTTGATATGTCGGAAGAATACAAATGTGTCTTTCACGGTGTAAAATTCAAACGCTACCATTTGAGACAAATATTCATCGCGCACCACTGAATCATAGATACTTGGCGTGTCCTTACCGATGCGCATTTGATTTGAGAATTGCAGCAAGGTATCATGAGTGCAGGGAGACATTTAATTCATTAAATTTCATAAAACCTTCCCACAACCCACACAGTCACACGTTTTAACACGCTAGCGTAACGACTTTTTACACGGCTTTGCCTGTTATTTCCAGTATACAAATCTAATTACACACTGTTATTACGTTTGCAATATATTTTATAAAAAATATGCCGGCCAAAAAAACAGTGGGTAAGTGTGCCTACTTGTTGTACTATATTATGTATTTTGGTTCAAAGATCCAGACCATAAACAAATCTGCATGGAACCATATGTGTTCGCTATTGTTAACAACAAAAGCCATTTGATAAACCAGAAGGCTAGAAAGCAACAGTAATAAAATTTATTTTAAGAACGTGAGGTTACAAAACATTAATCTAGTCGAATACAATACCGAAAATGGGAATGTACAAATGAAGGACTTATCGTTCTGAGCGGAAGTTACAATAGTTCCACCGAGTTGGTTTGGACGCAGGTAATCGTGTTTCTTTCGGCAGATTCACTGCTGCACGTTCCTAGTTGTCCGCGGTTGTTGTTGGCTCGAGCCGGACTGTGTTCCGACGCGCGAGTGGTGCGTAAGGGTGTGTGTTTGATTGTGTTCTGTCCTTAAGTAGGAGAGTTTGACGTGTGTATAAAATATGAATCGTTCCGACGCGTACTAGAGAGGAACTGAGTTGTCGTCTATCAATGTTGCTGGCAGAACGGTGTTTGTCACGTGATTTGTATGCTTGTGTTTGATTGGATTCTCTCCTTGTACAGGAAAGTTTGACGTGTGTATAATACATGAATCGCTCCAATGCGTACCAGACAGGAACTGACTTGTATAGCGGGTCAGTCGCGGTATCTAGCAAAACACGCATGTACTAGACAAATTAGGTGGGGCCGGTTGAGGGGACATGGAAATATCCGCTGCAGAACTCTTTGGTGTCGGTAAAATAACCCTCTCAAATGTATTCCACCAATTTTTGCTAAATTATCCATACAATTTTCCGCTTAATTTGTGACACGCTAGTGAATACATGCATAGCAGAAGGTGAGTTTCTAATCCGAATTTTCATCATTAAATTGCGGGATGAAAATCCTGTGCTGTTTTGTGGGATACATAAAATAATGTTGTCAGTTTATATAAAAATTTCTACGCGTGGCTGCAACGTACGTTTTCGAATTTGTTTGATTACCAGCAAGTATTTTTGTGCACTGGAAACATGAAGAGTTCCCTTCCGACACTACAGCTATATCCGTCTCCTTACGGCATGTTCGGCTCTCAGATTCTCAACCGTACTTTTATTAATCATTTTATTTCTTCAATTTGTGGCTTCCGATGTGACGCAGTTTTATTGTTCAAAACTCCCCAAGCAGCAAACATGACAAAACTTTGTGTTATCCGGAATATTTCAGAGCCTTCCCTTTATTTAAAATAACAAAATACAATGAAGCACAAAAATAATATAATGAATGGAACGAACGAAGCCAAACACATAAAGAATAAAAAATAAACAAAAAAATCGCGAATCCACAATAAGGGCGTTTACTATGAAGATAACACTGCAATGGGTTGGTCAACATATATGATGACTGGTAAATCTTAGCGACCCAATGGGGATCCGTAAGATTCACAGTGGCATTCGAAATCCATCTTAGGCATTAGGCGAATGAAATCAAATAATCCGCATTGAATCATTTTATAGGAACCAGGCAGGAGTGCATCACACAACAATGAACATCCAATGATAATGGACTATCTGTCACGTTTCAGAACATCCTTGGGGCGGGTTAAACTGGAATCGATTATTCAGCTCTCGATTATGATGTCCAAATTGATTTGCAAATGAGTGCATTTCTCGAAAACAGTGCAACTTGGGTTCAAAGTTGACGATAACTCGGGTAATGCGCGCACCTGATGCGTCCCAAGAAGGAAGAAACCGGTCGTGGGCTGTCGAAAAGATTTCAGCAACCCTGTGAGCAGTTTCCTTAATGAAAAGAAAATAAACCTGGTTCTATTGCGTCCTGCATCTGAAACCGAAGATGTGATTCTGATTCTATTTGGTGACAGCTTCTGTTTGTATTTGCCCTATTAGCCAATCATCTCACAAAACAATCCGCTTTTAACAGTCGTAATACCTTCAGGTGATAAGCGCGAACAACTGCGATTAAATTAGACACCAATTGGTAACTAGGAAAATTGGGTTTCCAAATCCCATCGTGTAATTTCGCAAACAACAAACGGTTAATAAGAGTTCTTCCAGGAGCTCAGGATGCCCGGTATAAAAAAACCGGATTCCAGTCGGCGATTTCGTCACTGTGAAACTAACTTCGGATTTCGTTCATTCCATATGCTCAGGATTAAATGGCAGGCAAACTGATATCATGTCGAACGTTTGTGCTTCATCTGTCGCCTACGTTTTTCGTAGTGTGAAAATAACTTGCTTACGAATGCGTTGACCATGTTGGCAATCAAAACGTTGTGCGGACAACAAGAATTCGAGGCGCAACGTCGCGTTCAGCTGTAATCTGTGGTAGAGGTAATGTGCACCAACACGTTCCGATGTCAATTTATTTCACGGTACGTTAACAGATCAAAATCGGTTTCCTGATCAGCCAGCAAAACCTACCCATGCAGCATCAGCGGATGAATTTTCAATTGGGAA